TCGCACTATTCTCCTATTGTTCCCCTAGTCCTTCTCCCCTATCTCCTTGGAGTGGTCTCATGGTCCCTGCTTCTCAATTCAACTTTTCAGCCCTTGACTCTTAGAATGACCAAGAATTCTACTACTTGTATTTGAAAGCTTATCATTCTAGTATATGCTTAAATGTTACTCAGAGAACTTTTCACTCTCTCATCCTATCCTCACAACTTTACAGGATCTATGGTATTTGTTTAATAAGTAGGGCCGAAAACTACAATTCAGGTTTTGTCACTTTTGGTTCTTTTCACCAACTACCAGTAATCCAAAGCTGTATTTTGTACCATAAACCCCAAAGCATTTTTCAGGCATTTATAAAAATTTCCCCTTGTCTTTGGGCTTATAAAAATGAGTCTGGGAGAAGAAATTTTGAATGTTTTCTCTTGAGATGAGTCCTCAGCAATAGGACCTGGAAGAAAAGCAGCTTAAACAAGATGAAGTAAAAAATGACAGCAGCATTAAATGGTGCAGCAGATCCAGAAAAGTAAAAGTGGCCCTTCCTAGCCACTTTCAAGGGACTGTAGGGCCAAAGTGATTTCCATAATAATGCTAAAACATTACCCTTTTTTCCTGCACTGTATTCATATGTACACTATAGTGCCAAAGTGATTCTGAGTGAAGCTGCTGGTGCTTTTGCAAAGAGCAGAGCAGTGGCTCCAAACTACAGAAGTCCTTGTATTCTTCACCATCAAACACTTCTAATAATAATTTAAAGCCAGTTTCATTTAAGAAAGTCCTTTAATGAGGCAGTACTCAGAGAAATGGAAAACCATTACTTTAGAGCACTTGTGCTACATACTGAGTGTGACAGTTGTCTCAAGAAAAAGATTTGTGGAATTAAGTTGTGAACTAAACTAGCTGTTTGTTTCACAGGACACCAGTTCTACTCCAGCAGACTCTGGTTATGTGGACTTTAATATTTAGCGCACATTTTTCAGTTCAAGAAAAACAACAGTATTTATTACTACTGATAAAATTCGAGCTTTCAAACAAAAACTGGAATGTTAGAAAGCATGTATCTGCTACTTTGATACAACAACTTCATAATTTATGGGATGGTGTTAACAATGGTGATGTTTTCATTTTGTGTGATGAAATGTGTCAACATTAGGAAGATCTGCATAAATGTAAACAATATCCTATAAACGACCAATGCAAGCAAGCTATTTCAAAATTATTCAAGATAAGTGCCCAGATGCATCAATGGACCTTAACATAACTGAGTACAAAAAACTGATGTTTYAGATTCCATAGTGCAACTATAATGTTTAAAAAACTTATACTTTATGTCAAGTGTTGCTATAATTTCAAAGAACACAAGTACTTGAAATCCCTTTTCCAATTATCTGGTGAGAGGCTGGACTTCCTTCATATATTTCAATCAAATAACATTTACAAATAGATTGAATGGAGAAGCAGATATGAAAATCCAGTTAAAATCTCAAGTCAGACATTAGATTTGCAAAAATGAAAAATAATGACACTTTTTCTCACTGATTATTTTGGAAAAGTCATTTTTCATTAAATTATTCATGTAACGGGTTTGCCATATTTAAAAATGTTAGTCTTAATTGCAAATATAGTAAATATAGCCGACAGAAGCAAAACTTCTTTGGAGTCCTCAATAAATTTTATGAGTATAAAGGTGCTGTGTGTGGTGGTGCACGGCTATAATCCCAGTCACTCTGGAGGAAGAGCTTAAGTTTGAGGCCAGCCTGGGCAATGTAGGGAGACCCTGTCTCAAAATAAAATTTTAAAAGGGCTGGGGGGTAGCTCAGTGCTTGCTAGTATGTGCAAGGTCATGAGTTCATCCCTAGTAAGGCGAGGGGGGGGGGGCGGGGGATAAAAAGAGCATGGTAAAGTGGTCCCTAGGCCAAAAGTTGAACTGTGGCAATAGCTGTAATGCCCCCTACTGGCAAGGCCTGAAGTCACTGCTTCTCCTGAAATCTAGCAGCTAACAAATTGTTCCCTCACTCCTGTCCAAAGTAGAGAATAGGACAGACAGCAGAATACATCAGACACTAGAAAGGCAATATGTCAATCAATGGAAGGGAAACTGATGTGATACAGCAATTTGTATACGGGGTAAAAGCGGGAGTTCATAATCCACGTGAATCAACCGTGTAATATGATGTATTAAGAACTATGTAATGTTATGAACGACCAATAAAAAAAAAAAAAAAGGAGAAAGAGGTGGGAGGGGAGAGGGATTTTGAGACAGAATTAGGAGTTCTACTATTGGGGACTAATATAGTGTTCCTCAGTGGCCTATCTTAACATAAACCAGAGGTTACTGGAGTTGGCACTTGTAGTATACTGGATGATCAAAGGATTACTTCTAGTATTTTGTTGTTCATTTGTGGCTCTTTAGAGCTGTTTCTTCATAACTTGTTAATAACCCCTATTATTTCTTCTTCAGTAACACTTGTTCCCCTTACAGGGGAACTATACTGCTGGGCTCACTGATGTTTAGGCCTTGGCCTTAAAGTAGTATTGTGGACAGCATGATCCTTRATAATTGGGATTTTGTTCAGCTTAAGTCACCTGTGAGGGGCTGAATCAAATGCAGATCAAAGAATACTGTGAGGGAGAGCTTTTTTCTCACTAGGACTATTCCTCATAGTTCCTTGTTTGAAATCAGTTTCCAACAGGAAACTGAACCAATTGGAAGCTCTCTCCCCTCACCTGCCTTCCTCTTTCCAACACGTTTCATTTTCTTAATGACATCAACACATGATACTTACTGAAATTTTAAGATTAAATAAATTTAAGATAAACTTAAAATTGGAAAATCTCACCCTGTCCCCCCCACCCTTTTGTTTGTAGATTTTAAACGGAGGGACTCCAGACATTCCTTCCAGTGGCCTACTGCCAGGGCAGGCTCAAGAGAACCCAGGTTATCCATATTCTGATAGTTCTTCTATTCTTGGTAAGTGGCATTATTATTCACTTCTATTGCAATGAGCTTGCAATAGACCTGATATAATGTTTTAAGAACTGATTGTACAAGAGAAGCTAGTTCTAGATAAATTTGACAGGAACAAATTAAATGTTTAAAATTTGTTTAAAATAGTTCAAAGTAGACTTTAATGATTGTATTTTGGTGGGGATCTATATATGTCTGCAACAGCCTAGACATATTTTTTTCTCATATTTGGGGCACAATCTTCAGAGGAAGAGGTTCAGAGGTAAAGCCTTAAAAAGTGATCAATAAGAACCAGGGTGATAAGTCATTAAGTAATAACAATTATTTCTCCCAATGCATCCTCTTCTTGATCTCTTTTTTCCTACGTTCTCCTTTCCTATTTGCTATTCAGTCTGTAACTTTCCCTTCTCCTCTTAAATAGTCATCAGAATATTAAAATGAGGTGAACGCAAACATCTTTAACATTTATGTAATTTTAAGCACTTTGCTCTCATTTCTAAAAAGTTGGTCCTTTCCTCTGATAAACAGCAAAGCTGAATAAATGTATGAATGTATATATGCTTATGGCAATAGAGCCCCAAAGCAGCCTCTCACCCCTTACTTTTAAATATAATTTTCTAATTAAATGTTGCTTAGAAATTGCTTACTAAGTCTAAACACACTTTTGAATTTATAAAATCACTGACTAGTGTTTATCTCCACAGGTGAAAACCCCCACATAGGCATAGACATGATAGACAACGACCAAGGATCAAGTAGTCCCAGTAATGATGAAGCAGCAATGGCTGTCATCATGAGCCTGTTGGAAGCAGATGCTGGGCTGGGTGGCCCTGTTGACTTTAGCGACTTGCCATGGCCGCTGTAAACACTACATGTTGCTTTGGCAACAGCTACAGTATCAAAGTGCATTACTGGTGGAGTTTTACAGTCTGTGAAGCTTACTGGATAGGGAGAGAACAGCTTTTATGTACTGATCTCATAAAAGCCATCTCAGAGCCATTGATACAAGTCAATCTTACTATGTGTAACTTCAGACAAAGTGGAACTAAGCCTGCTCCAGTGTTTCCTCATCATTGATTATTGGGCTAGCTGTGGATAGCTTGCATTAATTGTATATTTTGGATTCTGTTTGTGTTGAATTTTTTAATCATTGTGCACAGAAGCATCATTGGTAGCTTTTATATGCAAATGGTCATTTCAGATGTATGGTGTTTTTACACTACAAAGAAGTCCCCCATGTGGATATTTCTTATACTAATTGTATCATAAAGCTGTTTATTCTTCCTTGTAAGAATCCTTTACTATAAATATGGGTTAAAGTATAATGTATTAGACAGTTAAATATTTTTAATAAATGTTTCCCTTGTTCTATAAATACTGTTCCCACTTCAAATATTAAGAAAAAAAATTCCTACATGCTGCAGGTCTGTATCATTAATTCCAATAGTGGATATTTAAAAACTAACATTTGCAATGCCTTTCTAATCTTCATAACAACTCTGGGACTTACACAATTCCCCCTTGCTATTAGCTTAGATGTATTATGAAAATAATTTCCAAACTGTGGCCATTTCTATCTAGTGAGAACAAAGGTGTAACTGCTTACACACAAATATCAAATCCTCTGTCTGAATTTCAGGATCACATGTAAACAAACTAGCTTCTCCACTGCTGCCCCTACTTGCAGTAATATGGCTTCAAACATTTAAGTGATTCCTTCTTGAACAGAGCAGCACAGCATAAAGGAAAAAGCATTTAACTAGTATCAGAAACTGGCTCTGAAATCCAGTTACCACATGCCTTACTAAGTCATCCACCTTTCATACCAGGTTGGATGAGAAAATGCTCTCTTTTCAGCTCTAACATTGCTTTGGATTTATAATATATTTTATAATTAGTAGGAAATTTAAGTACCTCATCACACATATACCAAACTGAATTCCTTGCGCTACTATTTGATTTCTAGTTGTACTTTTACAGCAATAAGACAGACAAACATGAATTATGAGACTAAAAATCTGGTCAAGGTGTTTATAAATTTGGTCAGAAACATTAAAACAATGGAATTTTATTTTGATGAAAAACTTGAGTTTACAATCATTTAGTAAATGAAGAGCAAACACTTCATTTTCCTATCCCATAACTCTTAAGAAAAGAAAACATTAGTAAATAAATATCTGTGAACAGATTAAGGGTAAGGCAGACCGGATAATAAACCACCTCTGATGTTCACACTCCCTGCATGTGACTCACTCTAAACAGGTGAAACGGCACTGGAGGTAAGTGAACTGATAAGATATGAGCATTGAATCTCATCCTAATCATTCAAATAAGTCCAAGACAAATACTTTTTTGCTCATCCAGGGCAACAAATTATACTCATTTTACTGAAGGAATACTCTGATAGAAGCACTTATTTACGTTACACTGTGCATCGTAACTATAAAATGGCTTGAACAGTTCCATTTAACCACCATTTATAAAGTGCAACCATATAATATTCTGCATTTTATCTGGGGTGTGATGAACATCAATYTAGACTGAAAGTACCCCAGCTGCCAATTTCCACCACTTCTGAAAAGATCTAGATGTGTGAAAAAGGACTGTCCCCCATACAAAGAACCAATTTCACAAACCTACTGGTAAACAAATACATTTATATAACTGGAACCTCAGGATGCTAGAGTTGTACTCATTTAAAAAACCATTCAGCTACCTTTGGTCTTTAAAAAAGCCWACACTGCAATGTCCTAAAACGTTATGTGCATCTCACAATGAAGAGTAGCCTTGCAGTGCAGAATGAGGAGAGTACAACGTCACTGTGAAGAGTAGCATGCTATGGTTTTAAGGAACATCAGCATCACAGCATTGGATTCTGTGCATCAGGATCGAGGTCATTGWTGCCAGAAGGGGGGTGAATGGGAAGGATATCCAACTCATCCACTTGCRGAGTTGGGTGCATGACAACCAGCTGGTCCTGGGGAATGTCTGCGGCAGCTGCTGCCAAGTTGGTGATAGATTTACTCTTTACACACTGAAAGTCTACATGTCGGCTCTTTCCTTCTTCCTTCTCCCATGACATTCGGATAAAGGGTCTTTGGACATAGTTGTAAATAACTTCTGGGCGGCCCCCAGGTCTTTTCTTTACTTTTTCTTTGTAGGTAGGATAACCTGGAGGAAAGAAAGGTTTTAAAACTGAGGATACACACACACACACACACACACACACACACACACACAATTTCTCATCCAATATAGCCTATGAGAGCTTATTTGGCACAGATTCTGAACAAATGGAAATTAAAACAAGGGAAACCAATATTCCATCCATCTAGCCATTTGATTCAACAGCCAGAAACTAAAGTCCTATTGATGTAATTCCCAAAGCTTTCTACCATTCKTTCAGGTACTCAATAAATCAGCCACCAAAAACATTGTTAAAGTGGGACTATGAAGGCGATGGATCTCTAGTACAATGGTATATAATCTGGAGCAGATCTTGGGCTCTAGCAGTAAATGTCAAGAGTCATATTTCAGACATGTTTTCCATTGAAACTGTTCAACTCTATCACTATAAAGTAAAATCAGCATAAAGAATACACAAATGGTTCCAATAAAACTTTAAAAAATTACAAACAGGTAATGGGCTACATTTGGCCCATGGATCAAAGTCAGACTATAGTTAGTATCAGAGAGAAAAGAAAAAGGCCTTATATAGCAGAGTAGTAAATAAAGCTAAAAACCTCCTAAAGATCTGCAGAATGTCTTCTTTATTTCATGCTTTCATTCTACCATCATCTAAAGCATAGATCAGAAATGTTTCCAACTCCAGTCCCTTGTCCTTGATTTCTCCTGGACTATTAGAAATAAATTCCAATCTCATTGTATTCACTGTCCTGCACACAGAATCACCTCTACACACAAATGTAATCACATTGCATCCTTGCTTAAAATCTACCAATGGTTTCCTTATGTTTCAAGGGGAATTCCACACTCYTTAGCATAGTATACAAGGTTTTTACAACCTGATTCCAACCTATTTAATTTCACCCTAGAACTCTTAAATGCACTGGCCATATTAAACTCTACACTTTTCCCTGAATATACTTTGGTGCTTTTACACATAATTTACTGCAGCTGGTTCCCTCTTGGCCCCCAAGCGCTATACTGCTGTTCTACACACCCACCCCTCATATACTTTTTATTGAACAAAGAGAAGATTTTTATTCAAGGTTTTATTAGTTTGTTAAATCTTTCATTGTTGTTGATGATGGACCTTTATTTTATTCATTTATTCATATGTGGTGCTCAGAATTAAATCCAGTGCCTCACACATGCAAGGGAAGTGCTCTATTACAAAGCCACAACCCTGGCCCAGTTTGTTAAATCTTACAGAGAACAAATTTCTGCTCCAGAACAAGACTAGGAAACCAGGGCTTCTATATATAGCTGAACTTTCAGTGAGATGAGCCAAGCCTACTTGTGTCTTGCTATTCCTGCTCAGAATGCAGAGGTAGAATAATTCATAATCTCATCTAAGTATAGACTTCATTACTCAGTCATGAACTTCCTATATTCTAAGGTAACTATACTTCAATAATATTACTTTATAGAGTTTTTTTTCTTTAAATTTCAGACCCTGTTCAAAGTCTCCGTTGAGTACTCTGATGAAAGAAAGCTTTTCTGAGTTCAGGAAAGATTCCTAATGATGGAAGTAAGGCCATATCTAATAGGTCTGCTGGAGGGAGCAGCAGCCCATGCAGCCCTAAACTGCCTTTAGATTCTACCCTCTGAGGCTCACAGATATTCCATTAAGGGATGGGTGAAACAAACAAAACAAATTCCTAAGATGTGCCTTTCACTAAACTGTAATGTGAAGAGTGACTAGGCAGGGTTATTTATACTTTTCCACCCTCACTCCAGATACTTTGTTTAACAATATCCACCAAACCCCAAATCCTGCTTATAATTAAGCAGGTCTTAGATAACCTTGACTATTGCAATATCTGAACATAAATATGAATATGGTTATTATGGAATAAGAACATTTAAAAACATCCTTTCAGCATTATATTCCATTATCCCTTCTTAGGTACTAAAGTTCTACCTTCCCCACGTGTCTCATACACCAATCCAATATGCTCCCATGAAAGTCAATACATATAATATTCTAAAATCAGACTTCTTTTGAGTGAAGGACTTGTCATTAGGAAGGCGGGTAGGTAAATTGGGAGGGTGGTAACAAAATAGCTAACTTACAAAGAATCTGCATTTTTTTCTTTGGTAGCAGAAATATCTTATTTCTTCAGATGAAAAAGTTAGAGACTTGATGGAAAAATATGGCTGGTAGTCTACACATTAATTTGGGAAAGAAAAGAATGTTTTGGATCTAAAAGCARTTATGAAAGGAAGCCTGCTTAATTACTGTTTTGGCACAGTAAAGGCCAATTTATCCAAGGTTATAGTACACAGGCAAAAAGAGTTGCACACTGATTTTTTTTTTWAAATTCAATCTCACAAAGTATTTCAAAACCATTCACAGATTCCAAATCACAGAGGCCTGGATTCAAGTCCCAGCTCTGTTATTTATTTTCAATGAACCTTTAATAGATTATTTAACCTTTCAAACATCAGTTTCTTCCTCTTAGAAACAAGATAATGGTTGTGTAACCAAACAGCCTAATTCGAGAGGGGAAAGCTCTACAAAAGAATATTATTCTAACAAACATAAAAGGAACAACAGAATTAGAAAATGATCATTTTGCAATCTACTGATTCAGGCATGAATTATCAAGTAGTATTTAAACCTTTAGATAATAGCAGGGAGCTGAATATTCTTATAGTCTCAAAATAATATCACACCAGGGATCAATTTAATCTTATAATAGAAGGCGCAGACTATCACTTTATTGATCACTTAATAAAGATTTAAAGTATGCCTTTAAATCTAATGTACAGTTTATAGGAATTATAGAAGAGGGAGAAATAAATGGAGGACACTAAAGGAAGAAGTAGGACAGATACAAAAGTGGGACAATTGTCTAAGACTCTTCAATAGAGCAGTGCCATAARTAACTATTTAAGATTGAGAGATTTAACAAGCAGTTAGTTATAAGATGTGGTCCTGGATGAGATCCTGGTTTGGAGAGACCAGCTGTAAAAGATATTCTGGGGAACCAATGGGGAACTATAATGTAGACTGGTTCTAAGGAATTATTATTCATTTTGTTGGGTGAAATAAATTATTTTTAGAAAAAAATACTAAAATATTTTTTATAAGTGGAATATCTTCACATATAATGTACTATTAAATTTATTTTAATAAGATTAATGATAAGTTATACGTGCCACTAGGTCCTTATAACTACATAAAAATTCACTTAAGGGTTTAGCACCTCAGATACATTATGCTYACTCCTACCTCAACACTTTTGCACTTGCTATTTTCTTTGCCTACAACTATCCAGCTAAACTCTTAAGTGAATTTCCACTGTGATAGAAAAAGAAGTCCTCAGTCTCAATATCTAAGTTACATGTAGCTATTATATAAATTATTCACTATCTGAGACCCTCCTACACACTAAGCACTAGCCCACATGATAGGTGTGCAATATGCAACTAGACTTCTCTCGTGGAGCTCATAGCCCATGACTAAACACTATTATATGGTACATTGTTCTAAGGARCACTTTCATCACTATGAAAGCATCAAAGCTTCCAAGAAGGTTTCAGCGGTTCTAAATTATAAATAGTAGTAGTCAAAAAGTAAAAGTAAAGTGGGAAGAAGGTTATTTCTAATAAACCTCATTTGATCATCACAACAGTCCTCTAAAATATACAGGATATTAGACCCATTACACTGATACAGAAAATGATACTCAGAAAAGCTGGGAGCCTTGCCTTAAGACACTTACTATGACCCACAAGACCTGTATCCTCTGACCATACATTACTTCTACCAACATTCATACCCACTGTATCTCTTCAAAGCTCTTCCTCACTTACTATTTGAGTCATATTTGTGGGTTTTGCACCTCAGATACATTACACTCATTCCTACCTCAACACTTTTGCACTTGCTGTTTTCTTTGCCTACAACTATGCTTGTCACAGGCCTCAGCTCAAATATCTCCTTCTCAGAGAGGCATTCCCTATTCCTCCTAAGCTGAATTAAGTAGCTCTAAGTTGTCTTCTCTCCAGCTCTGACACCAGGCAGCTAAGTGCAAAATGACAGATGAAGACAAGCATGAGTGAATCACTTTCAGCAATTCTACTGCTTTTTAAGCCCAAGTATCCTCCCCTTCCCACAAAATTCCTGTTTCTCATCATTCTTTCCACATATCTCAGCATCCCATTACTGTTTTTTCCAGCAGCTCAATCAGGTCAAACACATTGTGAAACACATTGTGAACTTACCTCATTCCAGTTACTGTTTTAGGTACTTCTTGTATTAACTCATTTCACCCTTACAATAACCTTAAGGGTATATACTAATGCTCCCAATTTAGATGAAGAAATTGAGACAGAGTTTAATGCATTAGCCAAGATCATATAGCAATTAAATCATGGGATTTGAACATAAGTAATCTCATTCTGGAGTACTTTTTTCTATTTAGACTACATCTTGTTATGACAAGAAAGATATTTGTTCTTAATAAGGATATTTTAAATAAAAGCAGTATCTGATAAGGCAGATGGAAAAATTCATTTAAACCATAAAATAAAAAGATATATAAACACATTTAAATAAAATGAAAGAAGTTTTGTAATTTGCATTTAACTTAAAAWTAAGCTATTATAYCTTAAGATGACAGTAAGCTACTAGTATTACTGTTTCTAAATAAATTTTCAAAAGTGGTTTTTAATTCTATTTGGCTTCAAGGATCACCACTAGATAAGCAACCCTATTGATGTTATGGGAATGTACACACATGGATGCCCACACACACCACATGGATTTGTCAAATTCACTTTTTCAAAAGTGAATTAGAACACACTGTGGCAGAAAAGAAAAATCATATCACTCTATCACTAGGTAATCATATGAATAATATCTAATGGCCTTCTATTGGTCTTCTTAGAAGAAAGTTATGTAGTTCTGTTATTTATCTCTTTCCATAGCAATCTGTAATTATTTGCTGAATTTTTTCTTAAACTATTCAGACTATATTCTAAACAGGATACAATTTAAAAAAAATTAATATGAAATAATGAAAATGACTTACCTTCAATTCCCAATCTAATCTTCTTAAGACCCCTCTCCTTTAAAACTGATTTGGCCACATCTCTGTTTTCAATGTACTTGAAAAATCTATATAATTTTGTGCTATAAATAACTGGAAACAAAAAAAAGACAAATATTTTATGTTAAAAATCAATATACTTAGAAATGAACTTAAATTTATCTTAATCATCAAACAGGCCTGATAGCCCTAAAAACCCAAAGACTGGATGCACTAATGCCAAAGCATGACTAGCCAACATGACARAACAATATTCAGTACAGTTAATGTAGAAGCAAATGTCTACATAAGTGGAAACAAGAAAAGCTTTGATAACCAATCAGATAACCCAATCCATAGGAAGAATCTCCTTCTGAAAGATACATCACATACACAGTTATTGGTATGGGATCTGCCCTAAGTTTCAAATAAGAGAACCAAAAGAAGATATCAATACATACATCATTATTGAGTAGGCAAAGTAAAGGACTTTGCTAGATGCCTTCAAGGGCTAGTCTGAAGAGGGAAAAAAATGCCTAGTCAAAGAGTATAAAACAGATAAATTTCACATTTCATGGATTGAGCAACTATTAATAATTCCCCAAAAGACAAAGACCCTCCCCACAAACTGTTTTCCATTCAGGCGAATAGCCCCACTTAATACTGATGTTAAAAGTGGCAGATTCGAGCATGTTCTGCCAAGGTTAGTCTGTTTAGAGCAAACTGGTTTTGCAAAGGACAGACATTCCACTGACAACATGTTGAGTCTTCCAAATGGGCTGGGAACTTCAGGGAGTTAGACTGATGGACCTTCCTCGCCTTCTCTCTTTCAGGTGGAGTTATCTCCCTTAAAAGGTGAACTGCAAAGGTTTTATCAAAAGAAGAAAGACACACTCACAAACCAAACATGCTGGTTTAAGAGCTAATAAAGGAAAATACATACATGAATTCTATTCATGGGACAAACCTTAAATCCTTAAGATTACTGTTATTTTTAGATAAAGATTTTTTGATATCTCACAAAGGATAAAATTACATTTAGGAATCAGGCTGGAAAGGCTATCTCTATCTCCTCAAATGTATCTTCTTCAGGGTAGAACACAGGTGGCACAAAATCAAATATACTTAGACAAAGTAAGTAAAAATGTTTTCAGTCCTTGTAAGCTTCAAAGCTTAAAAAAATACAGGAAAACAAAAAAAAAATGTTGAAATAGAAAGTTTAACAATGGAAAAGAAAAGGCCAGTTCTATTTTTATTTCTTTATCTATATAATGTCATTTATGTGTTCTATAGCTGGCTCTACTCTTCTTAGAGTCAATTTCTTGAAAACTAAAACTATAAATAAGTTTGTTCATACCTCTTTTCTAATAGCAATAATTTTGCATATTTCTTTGCTTTCTGGTAATCTTTCATTTTTCATCTGTTATGTTCAATTTTTTTGTTCCACATATTATTTAGAGAAAACCACTGTCAGGAAAGCACCTAAGACTGAGGAAGCAGCAACAGAAATGCCTATTATACCTATCCACAAAAGAATCAAAACACTCATTTAAATTCATCATGTAAAGAAACTATGTCAACTCAAAAGTATGTTAAAAACATCTTTAGAAAAATCTTTTTAAGATGTCAACAGGGCTGGGGATGTGGCATGCGCAGGGCGCTGGGTTTGATCCTCAGCACCACATACAAATAAAATAAAGATGTGTGTCCACTGAAAACTAAAAAATAAATATTAAAAAAATTCTCTCTCTCTCTCTCTTAAAAAAAAAAACTCAACAAAGGAGCTGGGGTTGTGGCTCAGTGGTAGAGCACTTGCCTCGAATGTATGGGGCACACTGGGTTCAATACTTAGCACCACATAAATAAATAAAGTAAAGGTATTGTATCCAACTAAAAAAAAAARWAGTAGTAGTAGTAGTCAACAAAGCCCCGCACAGTGGCATACACTGTAATACTGTCTGAGCCGAGGAGGCCCAGACAGGAAGACTACAAGTTCAAGTTCAGCCTTAGCAATTTAATGAGGCCCTAAACAACTTAGTGAAACCCTGTTTCAAAATGAAAATAAAAAGGGCTAGGGATGTAGTTCAAAGGTGAATTCCCCCTGGGTTAAACTTCTAGTAGCCCTTCAGCCCCCATAAAAAAGGAAGTAAGTAAGAATGCCATTTGGAGTCAGCTTGTTTTGTTTTTAGAAAAGGGTATGTACAATGGAAAAATCTGACATTAAGGATTTTGGTACTTTCTATAATCTTGTACTTTTTACTTAAACTAACCCTTACTGAGTTAACAGACTAGAGAACAAGGAGCTGGGCCATTTTACTAAGCTTCTTGAAGGTTAGCCATTTCTTCAACTCTTCTCCATCTATACGTACTCAAAAAAGCTAATACTAAGCTCATCAAAACAAACAAACAAACAACAACAACAACAAAAACTTACAAAAAAAAAAAAACCTGAATGACTGTAACTACAAACTTTATAAGTAAAATAAGAAAAAAAGTCAATGTTGATCAAGATAYGCTGTTTTGGTTAGAAACACCTGAAGAACTCAGTTCCACAAAATCTTCTGAAGGGCCACTGTATCTTCCAGGAACACAGAATATTTAAAATAGAACATCTGGAATTTAGTTACCCTCAGATGATCCACAAAGAGCAAACTACTTCTGTCCAGGACASATAGGCACAGTTTTCTCTATAGGGCCAGATAGTAAATACTTTGGGCTTTGCGAGCCATGCAGTCTCTGTTGCAGCTACTCAACTCTACCATGATAGCATGAAAGCAGCCATAGGCAACACATATAAACTTTATTTATAAAAACAGGCAACAGGCTGAATTTGACCCACAGGCTAGTTTGCTGATCCCTGGTATATGGTAAGAGTTCAATGTATTTGCTTTACAAAACCTGCCCTTGGATTAATATTATAAAAGATAAAGATATGATGCTGACTTAGGAGAAAGAAAGCATACCACAATACTTACTTTGTGAATATTCTTCTCCCATCTGTGGTGGATACTCCTCATCCCAATCAACTACATCGTCATCTGTAAGCACCACTATATGGCATTCTCGTTCCCCACTCTGAGCACTAGCTACCATGAGAGGGAGGATCATTTCTTCCAAATAAAATTCAAATTGTCTACGAGCACCATCATTTGATAACTCATGCATCAGGGCACCTGAAATGAAACCCACAATAGTATCTTGATTTTTTGGATGACTGATAAGAAAAAGAAGAAAACACAAATAAAACACCAGATTAGATCAGCAAGTACTTTGGAACCCTTCAGATAATATATTAGTTTTTAAAAAGTTTTCAAAAAGTTCATATAGAAAATGGAAGAAAAGGTAGCTAACAAGAAAACAACCACATTCATCAGATGAAGGATGAGGGAGCAAGTGAGAGAATGATAAGCAGAAAGCTAAAAGGCTATCTAAGAGCCAAAAGAAGGGTCAAAAAGAAATGGATGACTGATCAGTACAACTTAGAGGAAATGTTTTAAAGACAGGGATAAAAGAAATACCAATAAACTCAATATTGTTCCATATCTTCTAGCCAATTCAACATGACAAAAACAAAAAAAATGTTACTTATGACAGGGTCAATTACTAAGAATACATGAGATCAACTCAAAGACTATTAGCAACTAACAGTGGCTCAATACAAATGTATGAAATTCAGTAACTTTCATATATGTTAGTGTTTTAAAAATGTAAATGTATTTTACATACAACAAAAATATAAAACATCAAAGAATAAACTTAATAAAATTATAGCATAAACTATATGAAGAAAATAACAAAACTATCAAAAGGACCTAAAAGTATAAATAAATGAACAGAGATCATTTGGAATAGGAGTTAATACAGTAAATATGTTAATTCTTTAAAAAAATTAACTTCAGAGAATTCTAAAGGAAAACACAATTTTTAAAATATCCAGAATAGACATGAGTATGTTTGAGCCTGACAATTATAATATAGATAAAGGGAAAGACTAAAGATACCATAATAGGGTTCTGAAAAATGCAAGAGAGGGGCTGGGGTAATGGCTTAGCGGTAGAGTGCTTGCCTAGCATGTTTAACACCCTGGGATCAATCCTCAGCACCCTGTAAAAATAAATAAAATAAAGGTATTGTATCCAACTACAACTAAAAAATAAATATTTTTTTAAAAATGCAAGAGAGGGGTTAGGGTTTTAGCTCAGTGGTAGCTTGCCTAGCATGTGTGAGGCACTGGGTTCTATTCTCAGCACTGCATATAAATAAATAAAGTCTATTAACAACTAAAAAAAATAATGCAAGAGATGATAAAACCCTTATGAATTCAGCAAATAAGTTTATTAAGTCCTCACTATGTTCCAAGCACTACGGACACGAAGTCAAAAAGGTGCAGGCTCTGGTCTCAAATTCAAACTAGTCTATTGCCACAAACGAAAAACAGAGTGAAGGCTGCAGAGAAAGGGAGCAAGATAAGGAGAGAAAGGATAAGTAAATTTCATCTCTGCATCTCAGTGACTCAAGACAGTCTCTATTTCTGATCTCCCTTTTGCAATAGGCTCGGACAAGACTAGGTATATGTAGTTTGGTGATGATAGAGTGCACATGCACACATACACAAAGGGTTTGGATGTAACTTCAGTGTTTTAGTCTTTGGTTGAAATCCCATTGCCTTCTACATGATAATAATGCCTTTCTCCTTGCRCTTACTGAATTGGTACCTTATTCAGACTTTAAATTTCATTTTACATCTTTTTATCAACCAAGGACATGGTATTTTTAAATTTCTTTTAGCCCTACGTCTTCAACACTTTTCCTAACAAGTTCATATAGAGTTCAACTCTGGTTCTCAAAGCTTCTGGATGATAGTGCTTGCCGAGAAAGAGAATATGAACTCTGATGCCCGGTCAGAAGCTACTAATTACCATAGATTTCCTATGGTCTATGGTTAGTTCTAAGACAGAAGACTAAGAAGTCAGCTCCTCTCTGTACCAACTTTCTTGCCTCTAAATATGCCATTTCTTCTGCCTAGAACAAACTTCCTTTCCTTTATTCTCCGACAAGCTTCTCTAATCACCATTATTTGAGTTAGGTACAGCCCCTATGGACTCACTTAGCACCCTATTTTTTCTCTAACATCAATTGATTTGTTGGTCTCCTACACTACATTATAAGCAGGCATTTTTTTTTTAAATTGTTGCCTCTTATGTACCTAATACCTGGTGTAAAGTGAGTACTCAATAAAAACAAAGAATGAATAACTGATTACTATACAAGCATTAAACAAGTTATTAAAGGATATTTACTAATATTGACATTCACAATAAGTTCCATGTGGAAATATTACAGTATGTACAATATAATCTGTTAATATTTCTTCTCCTTATTTTCTATTCTTGATGTCCTTTTTCTTAAAAAACAAACTCTTACTTAATATTGTATTTCAGGACTATTCATTTAATCTTCCCAGCAACTCTGTGTGTCAATTCAAATGTTTCCATTTAAAGAAGAGACAACTAAGAAAGAAAATTTTAAGTAACTTCTTAAGAAACCCAAGTCTCTCTATTCAATGAACATCCAGTACCTGTATAAATTCTTAAGAGACAAGCCTAGATATTTTAGTGCAAAGTACTATCCTAAATATTCAGCAAAGACACATATTTGCAGAAAAAACTTTTACACTCAGATCTACATGTGCAGTATTCTTTTACATTTTTACAAGACCACTTCTAATCTCTTCAAGTCCTGTAGTTTTATTTTTAAAATAAGGTCTTTGAGGACCTCTAAATTTTTAGTAACAAGTTAAAGTGATCTAGAAACAACTGTATTATTTAAAAGCTATAAGTCTAGGAGAAACACATTACATATTTTTTATTAAAAAATCAAAAAAAATTTTTTTGCAGGGGTACCAGGGATTGAACCCAAGGGCACTTAACCACTGAGCCATATCCCCAGCCTGTTTTATTTTTTATTTAAACAGGGTCTTGCTAACTTGCTCAGAGCCTCTCTAAGTTTCTGAGGCTGGTCTTGTGATCTTCCTCTGACCGCTGGGATTATAGGCCTGCACCACAATACCTGGCTTACAAAAAGATTCCTATCTTTAATTTCATAACAAATAAAAGATATTTAATGGTGATGATAAAATAAACTATGTCCAACAGACTGCATAATTAAAATTCATACAATCTGAAAGAAATTCTAATGCTTATTTTTTACTCAGATGTTACCAAGATGCAACATTTAATCATGAAGGTTAATTAAAATGATCTCATGAATAATAAAAGACATAAATCTTGAAATCAAGGAATTATAATGCTCATGGTTTCAACTAAAACCATTCTTTGAGACATGAAGAAATAGTAACTTTGTTCAAATTTACAGCTGTATGCTCCAACTATCCAACTACTTGACTTTAAATTTTCAAGTATCATTTGTAGAGAAATGGATTCAGAGACAGACCTATTTCTTTATCCTACCTATCAATATTTTTATGGAGACTAAAGAAAGTTTGGCAAAAATAATACCATACTTAGGGACATATTTAAGTATATAAATATATAAACATAAATATTTAAAGTCAGTGCCTTGAAAGTTTATCCTTCACAGAGGTCTAGACACATGAGTCTCTGAGAAGGTATAATAATACCACCCTGCCAAGTAGGGCTGAGCTTAGGTAATGAAATAAAGAGAATCGTATATATGGGGCTAGTACAAGGCTATAAACCACATGCATAAAGCTTTTTAAATATCTCCCCAACTGCATACAGAAGTTAACAGCATTAGTTTGGTATTTAAAGACCTTCCAATTCTGGCTCATCTATTTACTCCCCCATCTCCTGGTCCTAATATAAAGTTTTCCTTCAACTAGGTTATTCCCAAAATACACTTGTTACATCTTTACTTAAAAAACTCAAGCTCTTGGATAAACTTCCTGACTCTAAACTGTTCCTATTCATTCCTGTCTCCTCTGAACCCTTCCCAAGCCCCTCTAACCCATGACTTCCCCCTTCTGAAATTTCTCTAACCACTTAAAATCCAAGAAAAAATTGATACTTCTATACACTATTTAAATTTTTTAATGTATAATCACCTCTTTTCTCAGGCACAATGTAACAACAGGTGATACAGAGATGATCACCAATCAAGAGCTGGGATCCCAAGTTCTAAGGCCCTGCTCAGAGACTGTTTGAAGTTCCTCGATAAATTTACTTTAACATTATATATATCTGAAGTACAGGGATTCAATCTATGATTTGTAGTAACAAGTACTATTTATGCAAATTATTCATAATTTCCACAGTATTCAGGATATTATCTCATATAGTAATACAAAAAATTATAAACTTAGATAATGTGATCTGAGGAATGAAGCCACATCACACTTCACCAAACCAAGGCTCCCAAACTATCAAGGGGGAAATCTAGGAAAGTTCATTTTTTAAAAAATTAAATTATTAAAGTTGAAAAAAATTCTGGAAAGTTATACAAAGATATTATCCAGAACTCCGAAGACTTCCATAAATAATCTTCCTTTGAAGCCAAAATGCTTTATAATTCAATTAAACAAATACTTAAAGTCTAACTAAGTAAACCGCAAACTTTCAGACTTTGCATGTCAATCTAAAATAATTCTACAAATCACTTACACAGAAAGCATCATACTTACTGAGATCTCTACATTTAATAGTACTATATTCAAAAGAAATACAAAGATAATCACAAGCTTCTCTCAGCTCAGGAATAGATATGCCATCAGGACAACGGATTATTCCTGTCTTATAGTAATCCTGAAAAAAAGTAAAAAAAAAAAAAAAAGAAATGAATAAAATACATGGAGCACAAAGTAGCCAAAACTTGTTAAGGGTGGGCTGTTGGTAGCATTTTCAAAAACAGTGGAGTCTGGTATTTCTTTATTATGGAATTTTTAAAGCCATGTGGGACCTTGGTTCACCTCACAACATTTTTCATTTTACCCATTTTTTAGGTAAAAATTATCTAGTCATACAATTATCCAATAGCAGATGTCAGATATTAGAACCTAGGTCTCACCATTATCTTATTCATCTCTACTTTTTACTATATCATACCAGTTCATATGTATTTTCCTCTTGGAACTTACTTTTTTATATACAACTATCATAAAATTTTAAACTCTTTGTAAAAAGTAAGGAAATTACCTTAAATAATTACTAGAAAATTGAACAAAATTTAGGGTTTTTAGTTAAGAAGTGCAAGGTCATATCTAAGTATTAATGTACATAAAACAAAGTACACAATTACAGAGTCTTTTAAATAGTATCCTTTGGTGTTTCCATATTATTACAAACAATACCAATTATCTCCAAAATCTACTTTAAAAGTTGTTAGGTGTTAGGCACTGGCCCAGAATAACAGGTAAGTTATTCTACAGCTCTGTTAAAAAAAAATTCTTAATGCCAACTTTATAGCAGATCAAATGTAAGTTTAGGGAGCTGAAAATGAACCTCCCCTCCAAATTAAGACTTATCTCAAGATTTTTGAGGTTCAGAAGCACAATACCTAGTAACATAATTTGTAAAGTTGCTGTGTCAATAGAAGCAAAATATCTTCTGGTACTTGTCCAAGTAACAATAACCTGATCAAGAATGTTAGCATTTTATCACAGGATCCTCCCTTCCCTTTTTCCCCAAAATTATGTAAGGAAATTATATTTTACAAAGTGTTACACTTTTATAAATCAAATCTTTATCAATAAATTGAAATTATAAGTAGGACTCTATGTTAAATTTAAATATTCCTCAAAACAAAGGTTAAAACATAAAAAAAGAAAAAAAGGTTTAAAACAAAGATGCTAACAAATACATTTTGGAGATAATTTTTATATATTTGTATGTTTACACATTGTTAGTTATTTCAAATGCCATACTCATTCTCAGCAAAATAACTGACTTGCCATATTTAATTTAAGAAGGAATAAATAGTGTGACTACAGAAACATCAGTACTGAATACTTAAAAAACTGCCTATATACACCTAAAAGATAAATCTTCCTATTTTTATCCTCCTATGGTCATAAAATTTTTTACATTCTGTTCATATGCTAAAGAAAACCTGAATTAGGTAGTATTTAAGAAAAAACAATATATACTTTCAAAGAGATATCCAAATAGAATTTTATTTCCAATCTAAATACCTGCTGAGGAGGGGTCTTATGATGAAGTAAATACATATTAAAAACAAAAACAAAAACAAATACTCACCAGAATAGCTCGAAATACAGTGGAACCAATTCCTTCTGCCACTTCATATTCTCCCTTCTCATTGGGACGTGTAAAGTTATGTTCTCGGCCAGATCCAAACATCCTATCATAATGAATAATCAAAATGCGTGCCAATAGGATACTTAATTCAAAAAGGAAAATCAATTTCATGAACAAAAATGAAATAACATTATAACTTAAGCATTAAATTATTCAACAATTTTTTATCAGCAATTTATTCTGGCAAACTTTATATGAAGGTAATATGAGAACTATTTTGACGTGGGGTGCTGGGGACATAGCTCAGTGGTAGAGTGCTTATACAAGGTTCTGGGTTCAATCCTTGGCCACACACACACACACACACACACACACACACACACAAAATGACAGGAATCAATAGTAAAAAAAATTCCCTATAAAAATAAAATTCCATGATAAAATTCAAAAGCTAAAGAACTTTCTAACTCCTTCTCAGGTAGAAAAATCTCCAAAAAATCATTCTATGAGAAAACGTAATTGTTATGCCCCAGAAAGAAAAAAGAAACAATGTCATCTGTGTTTTTCCTTATACGGCTGTTTTCATTRTAAAGTTGGTGTTATAATGTAGCACATACAACAAGCTACACTGGGAAAAGTGAATGTGAAGGCAAGCTGGGTTATTGTATGTTTATCAATCTTTTTTAAGAGATCCAACTCATTCTTAGACTAGCATCTACAATAGAAAAATAAGCAATCAAATGCTAGGATAGGCAAGAATGGAGAAATGAGGAAGAGAATGGAAAGTTTAAATGAGTATAAGGCTCTTAATATTGTTTTTATAAAGAAAAATAGAATGGATTTATGTTTTTTCAAGTCACATTGTTCACCTGTTAACAGTATCTATTTAGAAAAGACAATTTGCAAAATATGTCCTTTTCGATGAAAAATTTAATGAAGTACTCTTAAGAAAACTTAAAAATCATGATTAAAGAAAAGTCGAACCTCTGAATTCAATGGTACCACTATCCCCAATGTAAACATGGTTGATCTAAGTGTTTTTATTCAATAGTTTCCTAATTTAAGTGGTTTCCTCTTTTGTTGTAACATAGAAATCCAGGGAGAACAAAGCTTTTTATTTCAAAGTTTCCAAAAGAATGCCAACTGCTTTCCAGTTCCCATGAATATTAATTTTCATCCCCAAAGAAATGCTTTAGTCAACTGACATGAAAAGAAGCTTTCACTGATTTAAAAAAAAAAAAAAGTCTTTCAAGAATCAAATGTCATAGAATTTTCTCAAATGCTGGAACTTTTTACAAAATGGGAAAGCTATTCTTTTCAGATCAGTATGAACACTTAAAATCTTAAACCTGCTAAAGCAAAATTTTAAATATCTCTTTTTACTGTTTTACATTTTATGTAAAAATAAAAGTTTAATTAATAACGTCATCTTCCTCATAGCTTCCATTAATGGTGTTTCCCTAGAATACTAAAAATACATAAAGGTATTTTTTCCTCATGGGTATAAAGTCTAGTTTCAATAAAGAGAAAACATTTAGCTACTCAAATGTACACAATGTCACAATACCAGCATTTATTCTATATTCTGAGACACTAACAGATCACATAAGAAGAATAGAAAAATACAAGGTTTTAGCTCATGTAAACTTCTATTTCACTCATATACCCCTTTATTTTAATTTTTGACAATATAACTGATTTTACTTCAAAAAGCATTTGATGCTCACTTTGGACATCTCCAAAATGAAGTCCATATTATTCATATCTTAGGTTAAGGTTCTCATAATTACAAACTTTAATCTGTTATTCTGTACCAGCACAAATTAGAAGATAACTATTAAGTCCTTCATTCTACTAAGAATACTTTTTAATAGAATTCCCCACCACCACCACCCGCCAAGTAACTACATCAAATTGACAATTCATGCTGACTTTTTCTTTAAAAAATGCTGAYATCTCCTCGACTTGGTAGTTGAATCTGGGAACTTAGTGCAGGAAGCACTGCTAAAATCACCTGGTTAGATTCAATCCGTGGTCTTAATCTGTAACAGTCTTTTAGTATCCTCACTTTAATAATTAATATGTTTACTATTTTTATTGGTACTACAAAGAACTTTAGAAATAAAGCCAAATTCAAGCTTTACTCTAACATGTTCTGGCTGCTTTAACTTGGACAATAAAAAAAATACATAGAAAGCCAAGGATCCAATATTCTTAACAAGTCAATAAGCACACACTGAAAGTTAGTAAAAAATTAATAAGAATACCAATTTAAGCTGTTGTAATTACTGAAAGAGATTAACACTATTCTGAGAACATAAAGCACAAACTTTGAAATCTCACTATTAATAAGGGTACTCTAAAACCAACAATTTATGTCACAACCTCCAAATTTATAGTTCTTCCATCCATAAAATGGGAATGCTACACTCCAACAGAGAATTATTGTAAAATTTAAATGGAAAACTAAAATAATGGCTATGAAAGTACTTTATAATTAGTAATATAAAGAACAAAAATACAAACCTGCCCAACATTGTATTTGGCTGTGCAGTAAAAATGGATGGGTCTACAACAAATCTAGTGTTATCCACTATTAGTGTCACTCGTTCTGATGTCCTTACATTCCGRGCTCCTTCTTTTGCATTTTCATATACAAACACCATCTCCCCAGATGTCTTACAGCTACCATCTGAACTTGACTGACTACTGTTTCTGCTGCTATTCCCAGCACTGCTAATGGAACCATTTGGGGATGCTTTTTGAGGACGAGGACTGCTTGGACGAGAGGAACTATGATCTTTTTCTCGTTCTGAAATAAAGAAATTAAACAGAGTTATGCCAATTGTCTACAAAAAATTCAAGAGCTGTACAAATCTTTTAAAGTGTTTGATAAGTTGTTTTAAATCATAACATTTTTTAAATTTCAAATAACATTTTCAAAGGATATAATAAACATTCATTTACTTCACAGGAGTAAAAACAAACCATCAAAATGTTTTCTAAAATCGTTATTTACAGACCTTTAAAAAGGTATGGATTACTGACTAATGTTGACCCAGAAAAATATCAAAATTAAGGTAAATTTCATATTATTATTCCTCCACTTAAAAATACATAGAAAGCTTGGGCTGGGGATGTGGCTCAAGTGGTAGTGGCTCGCCTGGCATGCGTGCGGCCCGGGTTCGATCCTCAGCACCACATACAAACAAAGAATGTTGTGTCTGCCGAAAACTAAAAAAAATAATAAATATTAAAATTCTCTCTCTCTCTCTCTCTCTCTCTAAAAAAATACATAGAAAGCCAAGGATCCAATATTCTTACAAGTCAATAAGCACACACACTGAAAGTTAGTAAAGAATTAATAAGAATACTAACTTAAGCTGTTGTAATTACTGAAAGAGATAACACTATTCTGAGAACATAATGCATAAACTTTGAAATCTCAGTGTTAATAAGGGCACTCTAAAACCAACAATTTATGTCACAAAACAAGAATATAAAAGAATATTTTATATAAAATATAAAATGTAAAAAAAACCACTAAGGACAGCAAGAAGCATTTATTTTTTCAAAGGATTTTCAATGTCTATCAAATAAAGTGGCCTTAGCAGCTGATGATATAGGGCTTTCTTCTCATTTGTACTTTTGTTGAATAAAGCAGTACTACAAATTTTATAAGATGCATAAATATCATCTATTGTTAATAGAAAATATTACTAAAATTCAGGAAATTTTCTTTAGATGCTCCAATATTATATAAGGGAAAATAAAAACTAAGATTTTATTAGAAGTTCTATTTAGAGGCTACATCACTAAACTTTAAAGGTGACCTAAAAATGTACCTCCATCTCTCAGTTTCATCAGTTTTTGCCAAATTCCTCTATGACTCAGGCTACTTAGAACACTCTGTACAGCAGCATTGCTGATTATATAATTAGGTTTGCTACATCTCTAGAGATACTCTCACACCTCCCTTTTATTGTCTGTTTCCTCAATGCTGGTAGCATCCCAAAAGCAAAATTTGTTAAAGTAATAAAACAATTTATTATAGTCTGTTATCCTGCTCTCATACATGGAATTCTGCATGCAACAAACTGTCGATTCATATTTATATTTGTTAATTTTAGCTTATAAGTAATAGTCTGTCTCCAAGGACCCATTTAGATACTGATAATTTCCCTGCATAATTAGACACCAACATAAAATTATTTGATTTTAAGCAGACTGTCACAAACTATTTCATATAGTTACAGTATTTTCTGCATGTGTGCTGGGGAAAGAACCTAGGACCTTGCACATTCTGAGCTGGTGCACTACTCAAATTTGTTTCTCCACTTCAGGTACTAGGAATTGAACTTAGGGCCCCGTGATGAAAGCCCATTCTCTAGGCTATATCCCCAACCCATAGTCAAAATATTTGATTTGTCCCTTCCCTAGGGGAAAATGAAAACCAGCAAGCTCATGTTGCTTAAGTACACCTGCTTCAGACTGGTCAGGCCTTACAATCACACAATGTATTTACCTGTAAAAATAATGTTCATTTATAGTAATGAGTGGGAAGGACGAAAAAGACCTGAACTAGTTACTAGAAATGTAAAACACTTCACACTTTCCTTGCATCTTCTATTTTTATTACTAAATTTGAAACACTGTCAAAAGTCAGAAAAAAATAACTCCATCAGAATTATTCTTTCCCTTTATTTGTAAGCATGATTAATCAGATATTCTTGTCAATAATTTACAACTATTTTATTGTAAACCACTGCTGTTTCTTGTAAGATAAAAATTAACTTGAATTTTTGCAAAATCTACATCTCAGTTTCAGAGTCTTTTAAATTACTTTTTATAAGACTGTCCCAGACTCTTAAAACAAACTCACCTTTAAGTTACATCTAATAAGCTATTTTCTCATAGCAAGAATCAAGCTCAGCTAAAATAGAAACAAATGAATAGAAGCAGCTAGCTAATTTTAGTCTTATGTATTAGGCACAATTCAATGTCACTGCTACCTTTAAAAGGTAAATACATGTTTTTAAGAACTGCTAAGAAGATTGGATGATTTTTACATACCAACATGATGCTGCCGTGTTGGAGAAGTAACATTTCTAATACAAGGAGTGAGCTGAGACTCTGCTCTTTCATGAGATGAATCTCGTGATCTGTCACTTGACCTTCGTCTATCTCTTGATCTCTCATGTCCACCACTAGCACCATGCAGACTCATTTTGGTGTGGTCAACTCCTCCTTTAGCCACACGTGAGGGAGTACTGATAAGTTAGAAAAGAAAATTACCCATAAAAGCAAAAAAAAAAAAAATGCAGAAAATGCTTAAGAGAATATAATTTACAAGTAGTCATTAATATTTTAAGTGCAAAAATCAAAAGCTATTTTCCAATTGTGAAATCTAATTTAACCTCAAACCTGCAGGATGTATAAACTCCAGAATATTGTGTGTAGTGATCACGTAATTAAACTTAATTTCTTTATAGATGAGAAAACTACTTAGAGGGGTCAACTGACTTTTGAGTTAGAAGTAGAACTAGTAATAATAGTAAGTCTCCCAGATAATTTAAATATTATTCTCACGTTCTCTTGATTTATTTGTGAGAAAAAGGGATGAAGAACATCAGCTTCTGACAACTCTTTAAAAAAACCAAAGGTGTGGGGCAAAGTAACTACCTGCCAAATAAAATAAGTCATCAAATACTAATTTCAAGTAACTCACTTTGAGAACTCTTTCAAACACTATGATTAGAAAAACGTTTTGAAAAGCATTTCTCTGAAAAATTTAACTATATTAATTATATATAATCATAGAATTTTTAAAATTTTAAAACCTCTTTATACAGAAGTACATCTATACCAGACAAAAACGGAAACTGTTAACTAAAATAGTTATCAGAGTTCATTCACACAATCATCTGTTAAGTTATATGTACCACAGGCACAATCCTATGTTAAATGCCAATAGAAACAATAGCTTCCTCTAGGGCTTACAATCTAAGTTTAGTGGTAATATGTAAATATGTAAAATTTAATCAATTCAAAAGTTACCCCAACTTCTAAATGTAAATGTACCATATAAATCCCAAATATAAAACTACTAGAGGAAAGACAATAAATGCTTTAGGGTCTGGAAGGAATAAGTCATTGCTGTAGATTAGAGTTAGTCACTAGGTATACCAGGCCCTGATAAACAGATAATATTTTAATAATCAGAATGTAATACGGGTAATAAAAATGAAAGAACCAGACATAGGGTCATTTGGAAATTTGTCATATTAGGATATATGACAGTTCATAGTTTTAAAATATTGAAGTATATTTAAGAAATAGAACTAATTTCATGGTTTTAGAGTAATACTTAGAATTAAAATTGTCCTTTAATTCTATAGTTGCTTGACATTGAGTATTACTTAATACTCTTCAAAACTTAGGTTCCTCATCTATAAAATGTAGATCCTATTCACTTTCTAATGCTAATAGGAAGATCAAAGTGTAGTGAGTAGACCAGCAAGGTACCTGCCATGATATAATCACCTCTCAAATGCTAATTTGTTTGGTTATAAAAGATGAGCAAAATAAAGTTTAAAATTGCAAGATTTCTTAGGTCACAACAGTATTCAGTAAATACTAATAGCACTATAACCTAAGCCTTTGATTTGTTCCAGCACCCCCTCCATATTATACTATTTCTTCCACACCAAAATCACACTAGTTAAACTTTAATCTTCTTATATATTCAGAAACAGTTTTTTTTAAATACTTCAGTGTTTCAGGGTCATCTCTTGTTGATTTGTGAACTACAACATTTTTCATTATTTTAGTGGTTTGTAGTATGAAAAACAATTATCATCCTGWTATAACACTGATTACAAGCACAGGAGATAGGGCTGACTTATTTACTGTGCAGGTTACTTCTAGGCAACTCTATGGAGTTCTCTCTCATAGATCTAAAGGGAAAAAAAAATCCACTCCTCCTTTCTTTCTAGAGAAAACAAAAATACTAGGAAAAAATGTTTTTCTTCAAATGGAACAAACCAAAAGACTCTGCAATATTTGTGTTTAACACTGGAATTTCCAGCTCACTTTCTAAAGTACGAAAAAGAAATGAAATCAATAGCAACAGAAGTGAATTGTATATTAAAAAAAACTCTTCAAGTTATTCTAACTGCTAAGTTTTAATCACTTTCAACTAAGAAAGCATATTTCCTAAATGTGAGTCTGACTATCAAGATACACAAATAATTATGGCTAAGGCAAATGTAGGCTAAATGTTCAGAATAAGTAAAGGTCAAGTAAACTAATTAATTGAAGAGCACTTCCACCAGACATCTTTGTAGCTAAAAGATGCTGCTAAGCCTTCTGCTGAAATACTGACTTCTTTCAACTGCTTATATCTTAGATGAATGCAAACGTTGTCATAATACACTTCCATCTTTTGTTTTCATTCCCAAATAGAGTATACTCTGAACTAGTCCTTCAAAACCAGATGTCACAGAAGACTAATTATGCCCTCCTCTAATTAAATAATTTTAGATCAGGAGAGTACTCTAAAGGCAAAACAATTAATATGTGAAAAAAGAAAAATGAGGACAAGCAAGTTTAAAGGGGACAGCTCTGCTTCAGGCTGCATTTAAGAGAGTTTGAGATACGTGAACTGAGTACAGGTAAGTGATTCATCACCAACATCTGCTTCTAGCCAAGACTGAACAACAAGATGATACTGACTCTTCTGTCTGAGACAACTCCAACAGAGAGAACATATTAAACAATGATTTGCAAAACAGTACATCAGGCAATGAAGGGTGGTAATCCCCTGAAAGAAAGCAAATGAAATAAGACTAGCAATTATCCACACTTAGTATCTTTAGAGTTTCCAGAGTAAACTGATAGAAAAGCTAAGCAAAACCAGGGAAACTCTGAGTTAAAGATATGGAACTAAGCTGTTGAGATAATAATAGGTAGCKAGAAATCCCCCAAAAAACAAATGCCAAATGTCTTCTCTGATATAAAGGGAGTGACTCAAGATGGTGTAGGGAGGAAGAGCATGAGAAGATGATTACCTCTAGATAGGGAAGAGAGATGGGAGGGAATGGGAGGGAGAATGGGAATTGCATGGAAGATGGAAGGAGACCCTCATCGTTATRCAAAATACATGTATAACAATGTGAGGGGAAAAAAAGAAGTGTGTCACATTAGATTGGGTAGAGAGAAGTGATGGGATGGGAAGGAAGGGGGGAAAAGGAAGGACAGCAGAATAGACATTATTATTGCTGTGTGTATACAGGTGACTGCATGACCACTGTGATTCTGCAACCTGTACACTCAGAAAAATGAGAAATTATATCCCATCTGATTCAAATGTATGAATGTCAAGGTCATTGTACTGTCATGTGTAACTAATTAAAACAAATTTAAAAATTAAAAAAAAATAGTGGCTAGAGTTCTCAAAAAAGAATACTAGAGAGGGGAGAGCAGAAGAGGGAAAACCTTGGAGGATCTACAGAATTCTCCTTGAGTTTTGAGTTGAATACTAGTCAGAACATACATGTGAGAAAAGGACCAGAGGCCAGGAAAAGATAAAGAATTAGAAGAAAAAATGTCCAGCACTCATGAAGGACCAGGACTTGTCCCCACAAATCAGACTTAAGAACCTCATAATTTGTAAGGAATTAGAGAAAGAATCAGTAAAGTCTTACTTCTGAAATGAGAAATAATTAAACCTAGACTGAGCACTGCTCCAGTCACCCTTCAAGTTAACAGCAAGACTAGAAGAACCCAACTGCTTCCAAACAAATGAATACTAAACAAAGCTCAAGAATATTTATAAAAATAAGAAATATCAAACACCCAAAGAAGGTAAAATTCACAATGTACAGCATCCAAACAAAAATTAGAAGTCATGCAAAGAAGCTAGAATACATAACCGATAATTAAGAGAGATAAGAGAAATCAAACCAGAATTGACATGTTAGAATTAGAAATAAAGGCAATGAAAGTGTCATTGTAACCATATTTTTCCAAAAAGTTAAGAAAAATTGAAGATTTTTTTCAGACACAAATATCAAACTTCCGGTGATAAAAATGACAAAATCTGAGATGGAAAATACACCTAATARAATTCATGGCAGACATACATTATAAAAGAAAGGTAATAGGAAACACCCAAAATGAAACAAAGAGAAAACAGAAAAGTAAATAAACAGATTGTGAGTATGCTGTGGGTCAACTTCAAGTGGCCTACAGATCTAAATGGAATTCATAAAAGAACAGAAGTGGGAAGAGAAAAGGGAGAAGAAATAATATCTGAACTTTTCCCAAATGAAATGAAAATTTAACAACCATAGAGCAATATGCACAACAAATTCCACCCATACTTTGAAGACAAAAAAATAAGAATAACAATATTCTGTCAACCTAATTTGCTACACTGAGCAAATTATTTTACTCCTTTTCAAAAATAAAAGGRAAATATAGACTTTCAGTTAAAAGAGACAAATTCATCATGAGTAGACTTGAACTATAAGAACAGTTAAAAGGAAAATTTTCTTAGAATAAAAATATTTGTAGATCCAATAATATGTATCTACACAGGAATGGAGAACAATGGAAATAATTGTGTGGGAAAATAAAACTTTTTCCTTACTGTTTAAATCTTAGAAGATTAGTCTAAACAATAATTCTAACTATATAATGTGGGGTTTATAGCATATAATTATAAGAGAACAAATTTTGGGAAAGAAGAAATGGAAAACACTGTTGGAAGCCTTGTGTACTACACTACAAATAGTACAACATTACCTGAAGGCAGACTGACTAAATGATGTATACTATAAACTAAAGCAACCAGTAGTAATAAAACAAAACAAAGAAATACAGTTAACATGCCAACAATGGAGATAAAATAAAATCCTTTTTRAAAGATTCAGTTATTCCAAAAGAAGACAAAGAAAGAAAAAAAAAACGGAATACCAAGGAAAGAAGAGGAAGAGAGGAGAACAACAGGGAAAAACAGCAAACAAATAACAAGATAGCAGACTTAACTATGTTAATAATCATATAATACACAAAGTAAGCCATGTAAATATAACTGGTCTAAGCCATAAAAGCTAAGAGATTATCTGAATGGAAAAAAAAAAAAAGCCAGACCTAACTATATACTGCCTACAGGAAATATACTTTAAATATAAAGGTACCAAAAGGTTCRGTATGAAAGGTATGCTATGCTAGTACTAATCCAAAGAGAGCAAAAATAGCCATACAA